ATCAAAATTAAACATTAATCAAGAACAATTAGAAGAATGTAGTCAGGCCAATCCAAAGTTAAGTTTTTCAGGTTTTTCTCTGAGCTAATAAGCATTTCAAGTTGAATCAAAATTATTTCAAGCCTTTTGTTATTTAAGATTTTAAAAACCCAACATGCGTCTAAGCTCCAGGAATAAGCTCTTCAGCTCATCCTCTTGCATAGTGCCAGCTACTCCTGGGAAGAACAACTTGGAAGGGGAACATGTACACTGCAGACATTTTTCGGCCCTTCACATCTCCAACCAGGCTCTCCACTATAAATCTAGTTCTCAGACCAAATCAGGAACAACAGGAGGGAATCCAGGGGAGGGGATGGGGGCTTGCTGCTCCTCCGCAGCCCTGGGGATGCCAGAAGGTCTCTGTACGTGTCCATCACCTCTGCAGGTACAGAGAGAAGCAGCTGTTGCTTGACACTCGCTCTGCTTTCTGCCATCCCTCTCTGCACCTCACATCCTGCTCCCACCCCTAAATCCTACCTACACCTTTGCTGTGCCACAGCCACTGCTCGTCAGGCTCAGCCCTGCTCCTCCAGCCAGCTGCCCCTCCCTGGGGACCAGCAGAGCTCCTGCAGCTGCTCCTGGGGAGCTCAGTAAACAGGAGGGTTGAGATAATCTTGGGTACAAACCTCTACTCAGTGCTCTTCTAAAGCACCGAAAAAAAGGGGCTGTAAACAGCACCATAAGAAAGCACATTTATTCTTGCAGTAAGTGCAGGTGGGTGCAGGGCACCGTGAGAAGCCTCTTTCCTTCCCAGGAGGTGATCAAAGAGGCCAGTTCATATCAGGGGGAGACAAGGAGGCAGCACAGGCCAGTTAGGAGCTCAGGACAGAGCTGATGCCCCCCCACACACTCAGCTGCCTTCACCCAAGCAGCTCTGCTGCCTGCAGGGCAGGCAAGCCCCTAAGGCTGGGCTGCTCCCCTGCCCATCAGCTGCCTGAGCCACAGCTCAGACACACACACACACACCCCCCCAACACCCCCAGCCCCGGGGAGCAGCAGGAGTGACCCACAGATTTGCTCAGAGACCCCAGCTCCCATCAGACAGGCTCACTTCACATTTCAGCAGCGCCACAGGCACATTTACCATGGCAGAGCTTACTTTTGGCTACCTCCCCCCTCCCCAAATTAAACACCTTTCAGAGCATCGTTAAACACACCCCTCCCCATCTTGCCAACACAAACCTCAGCAGCAGCTCCTACCACCACCTCCAAAACACACAACCACCCCTCCAACCCCCTTTTATACCCCCCCAGGCTGGTTTCCCCATCACATAGTTCCCACCCTGCTGCTCCTGGGTCTCCCCAGGCAGGTCCCTCCTCTACCTCAAGCTGACCCAACCACCTTAAAGGGGCAGCCCAGCCAGCCAGGGCTGTGTTACAAGGGATTATTGCTGCCAAGACAATGATACAGAAAACACGATCCTAACAGGATGCTAAAGTTTGCCAGTGACTCCTCCGGTTTCATCAGTGCACCCCGCTGCTCTTGGGGACTGGCTCTGGATTTGTGCAAAGCGGTTCTGCTGTTCTGAGAAATCATAAAGTCAAACCAGTTCCTGACGGTTCTCGTCTGATCTAAGCAAAAGCAAGTGGCTGGCTATATATAGATCTGATTGACTGACATCTCAATAGCTTCCTGCCGGGCTTTCCTGTGTGTCATGGTGCACAGATCCCACTACTTTTTACGTAGGTGTTGCTTTTTTTTCAGTGCATCTTCGCATCATAATGCAAATTTGCCAACACGGCCATTATCACAGGAGCTCTGATTTGATGGCTGTTCTCTCTGAGTGCTGTTTCTAACCATGGAGGAGAGCCCAAAGCCAACAGGAACACTCAGCATCTGGGTTGCTGCAGCCCAAGGGACAGGGAATAAGCAGGTGCTGGAAAAATCAGGTCCTGTTACTTGAAATCAATAGTTGTGGAGGGTTTCTTGCACAGCTTCCTCCAGGCACTAGTTTGTTATGTTCGTAAAAGCAATCCATTAAATTGGTTCTCATTTTTGTCTTCATTTTATAGTGTGGGGAAACAAAGTTGTACGTGGTTTATGCAGGTCTGCCGAGGTTGTTTCAAGGTTGCTCAAGTCCACCCAGAGGTAGTGCTAAGGAACAGAGCTGTAGTTTGGAAGAGGAGTTTAGCTATGCCGGTAGCCCCTGGGCTGGTGTATGGGCAATAGAAAGAGCCAGGACAGTCGGATAAACTTCTTTAAATCAAGAGCTTTAGAGGGGCTATAAATCATCTTGTTCAAATCTGCTCTCAGACTTCAGGGGTTGGTTGACTTTCCCTCATGGCTGGGGATTTAGAATTTTTTTTCTAATCAGGGTAATTTTCTAATGGGGTTCATTTGTGGCAGCAAGGCTTGTACGAAATGCCTGGCATAGCCTGAACCAACCTCTGATCCCTGGCTTCACCCTCATATCTCCGTGAAGCTGCTTTCTTGACTCACAGCCCTGTGCTTGGAGAGGGAAACCAGTCTGTTTATAACAGAAGCACCTGTGTAGGCAGCTGGAAACTTTGTGGGAGCTCAGTGGTAATCAATGGCTTCTGCCATCTCATTTTCACCCGTCTGAACAACTGTCAAACATGTTCCATTTGTTGTGATGTTCTGGTCCTGGACTTTTCAGAAAAGGGAATCAGCATATTTGGGTGCAGCACCCTTGTACCTAATCACGGTTTATCCCAGGTAGCTAGTGGAAATTAGTAGCACATGAACAAGGCCGTCGACCTTCCACTGCCCACTCAGTGCTTCCTCTTCCTTGACTCGTGAACGTGACTCATGAGCCTGACTCTGCAGTTAAAACCAAGAGCTGCAATCCTCGCTCCTCCCATCCTTCAACCCACCTTCCTGGGACCTGCCCTCCCCTGGGACCACGCTGAGGTTGGGATGACCTGGCAGGCATCTGGTCTCAGGAGCTGAACCCCGGGGGATAAGCCAGTCCAGTGTCTGTGCTGCTTTGATGCCTGGAGGCATCAAGGGATTAGGATGCTTGCTTTGGTTCCAAGCACTGACTCCAGTTAGGGGTTGTGCTGCAGGATGTTTTTATTTGCCCTCGGTGTCCCAGACTGGCAGGTCTGCCAAGCCCCCGCTTTGCTTCATTTGATGAATTTGATGAAAGGGGCTTCACAACTCGGGCTTGTTTGTGCTGTGCCTGATAGGGTTTACGCTAGTCCCGCACCCCAGCCTGCAAACACCACTGACGGCTTCCTGCTGTGGTTTCCTGCCTCAGCTAAAACGCCTCCTCGGCACAGCCTGCTCTCCCTTCCTGTTCTCATCAGGGCCATTTCTGGGCCTAATGAAGACAACAAATAGGTAGCGAGGAATGCGGTTGCCGTAAAACCCAGCTCCTCGTGGGTCTCTGCTGTTGCAGTCTGAGCAGAGCAGGGTGCAGGCAGCACAGTGGTTCCTCCCGAGCAGTTTCCCCCCAGCCCCTATCCCGTTCCTGCCGGCACAGAGCATGTTTCCAGCCAACCCCGTTCCCGGCTCCAGCAGTCCCAGCAGCGGGCAGGAGGCAGCCCTGCCGCTGTGGTGCTGAGCGGGCTGGCTGAGACGGAGCGGGGCTGAACCAGCCCGGGCACAGCTCCAGCCGCTGCCCGAGAGCAGAGGGGCCACAGCGCAGCGGGCCCAACACCCCGGGCAGCGACTTCTCCCATCGTGCTCAGAAACGAGAGTTACGTTGGGGAGAATCAGGGCGAGCACCCAGCGCGCTGGCCGAAGGGCCGGTGGTGTCGGTGAACCCGTGTGACCCGTTTGTGGGAAATGCGGATGGAGGCAAACACTCTCGTCTTTTTTTTTTTTTTTTTTTTTTTTTTTGGGTCAGCACCTGCGCAATGACAAAAGCAAAGATCGGGCTCCAGGGAACAAATGAGACCCTTCAAACGTGATAACGTTTCCATTAATCACCGGAAATTGGCTTCTGTTTGTGGGTGGGATTTTAGGTGATTCGATACAAGCTTTGGCAGAAGGGGCTCTGCAGTGACTCCGCCAACAAAGTGCCATTTCTCGCTGGATTCCCGCTGCTGGTGCTGCAGCAGCACGGTGGTAGGTTTGTTTCTGGTTTTAGGCTGTTCTGACCGGGGGGGCTTCGGTAACCTTGAATATTGCAGCTGGGATTAAATTCACTTTGCAGGGATGGCTGGCCACATCTGAGCGCCGGCTTTCTCTGGAGCGTGTGCACAATGTAGAAATAGGAACTGCCAAATGGGATCAGAGCATTGGCCAATTTCAGAAACCAGCCAAAGTCAGGTATTGTGGGAAAAAATCCATAAATTTTTCAAATAACAATTAGAGGAAGGTTTCTTTTTGTTCCTGTCAACTGATGGTTAATGTCTGCCCAGAAGCACTTGGATTTATCTTCATATCCTTTTGCTTTGTTTGGTGCAATTGTGTATCTAAACGTTTTTTAGACATTTAATATCCATCTCGTGTTTTAATTTTATTGCATTTAAGATTTTGGCCTTATAGACCCTCAAGGCAAAACTGATTTATTCGGAGACGCAAAAGAATTTCCTTTTATTGTGAACAGGGCTGGAGAGAAAATGGTAGGAAGTCAAAGCTAAAAACTTTGGGATGAATGTAAGAAGCACATTTTTAATAGTGAAGGTAATTAACCATTGGAACAGTTCACTGTAGGATTCAGTGCGTTCTCTATTGCTTGAAATCTTTAAATCAAGGTCAGATGGATTTCTACTTACATTTTCTAGCTCCGTACAGGGCAGGCTAGAGGAATCACTGTGTGATTCTCTGCCCGGGGATATGAATGCGCTCACTGCTGCTCTCCACGCGGTGTTTGAAATGACCCTACAGACAGTCAGCCAAGGGCCGAAGAACCTCTAGACAGATGAGTCTGAATTCCAGTTCAACCCGTTGGAAAAATCGTGTGTCAGTGAGGAATTTCGCTTTTCCCTTCCAGATCGAGCAGCGGCAGCAGCGCGTGAGCCGACCCCAGCAGCCCCGGTAAGCGCACGGAGATGCCGGATGCTGCTGCTCACCTGCCCTTTTACTACGGCAGCATCGCCAGGTCAGAGGCGGAGGAGTACCTCAAGCTGGCGGGGATGGCGGACGGCCTGTTCCTGCTGCGGCAGTGCCTGCGCAGTCTGGGGGGTTACGTCCTCTCCATGGTCTGCAACCTGCAGTTTTACCATTACGCCATCGAGCGCCAGATGAACGGCACCTACGCCATTGCGGGGGGCAAAGCCCACTGTGGGCCGGAGGAGCTCTGCGAGTTTTATTCCAAGGACGCCGACGGGCTCTGCTGCGCCCTCCGCAAGCCCTGCAACCGCCCCAGTGGCGTGGAGCCCCAGCCCGGTGTCTTCGACAGCATGAGGGACAATATGGTGCGCGAATATGTCCGGCAGACGTGGAAACTAGAGGTACTGGCCATTGCCAAAGGTGGGGTGGGACTGGGGCCCCCCCCCCTCCTGGGGGCTTACTGCCACTTGCCACCCTGCCCTCCTCTCGCTGTCACCCCCCCTCTTCCAGCAGGGAAAAGCCAGGTCCTTCTTGGAGGCTGCTGGCACTAAGAGCAGTCTTAAATCTGTCTCTTTTCCAGTTTCTTCTTCAGAAACAAGTCTAAACACCTTCCCGAGCCTTCGGGCTCTTCCTCGGAACAGCTGGTGTTGCGTCTGCTCCGCGGCGCGTTGGAGCTCACTGCCCGCTGCCCGAGCATTTCCCCGGGTGCCGTTTGCTCCTCTGCAGCACGCGGGACGCTCGCTGTGGTCACACCGGTGCTCTGCACGTGAGGTGCCTCTGCGCCCATCGCGTTGTGCCGAAGATGTCATGAAACCAGCCTTAAATTCTCGCTCAGGTTTTTCTTGCTCTTTGAAGCCAGTGGTGGTTTTGCCTATCAAACCGAGGCACTGGGTATGGGATCAGGTCTGTCTGTTATTTAAATTTAAAAATAGCTACGGGCAGGTTCCTGCATTTTATTGAGACTGGAATGTATATAATATATATATAAGGCAAAACTCTGTAAATTGTCACACTGGCAGATACGTCATTAATTTCCTTCTACCTGCTGTCACCTTGACAGTGGCTACTCAGACACTTCCAAGTCCTCGCAGAAAGGTGGCTCGGGCATTCTCCATATGGAGCCTTTCAGTGAACGATCTCTGGATTTGGCCTATTTTAAACCAAAGGTGCTTGACGGAATGAGTTTCTCCATGAAGCTGCTCGGTGGACACTGGTAGATAACACAAAGGACATTGCCATCTACTGGCAGATGAAAAACTACAGTTGCTTATAAAATGTGTGGGGCCAGTAAAATTCATTTAGGCTCTCCCACTTGATTTCCAGACTGTGCAGCTCTTGACAGGTTGTAGTGTCTGGGGACAGTGAGCAGCCAGAGGCAGAAGCACCAGAAGGAGGTCCTGCTCTCCCAGGAATGTGAGGCTGAAAGATACCCTGATGTCAAGATCCCCCATACGGATATGATGACTTCTCTCTTCCCTCACCAGCAAGTCAGTGGACTTCAGCTGGATTCGAGGGAAGGGACCAATTTAGATAAGCAAGGAATTCTGCTCTGCATCAGAACAGAGTTCAACCCACTATTGCTGTAGGCATGATTAAGGCCACAGGCACTGCAGTTACAAGACCTTCCAACTCTTCCTGTGTCATCCGCCCAAAAGGGTGCAAAATAAACTGTGCTGGAGCCATGCAACAGTGCAGCAGAGCGGCAGGAGGTCTCATTTCTCACTCTTTTCCAGGGGGACGCACTCGAACAGGCCATCATAAGCCAGGCTCCCCAGGTGGAGAAGCTCATTGCCACCACGGCCCATGAGAGGATGCCCTGGTACCATGGCAGCATCGCCCGGGATGAAGCTGAACGAAGGCTCTACTCAGGGGCACAACCTGACGGGAAATTCCTGTGCGTATGCAAAACACTGGCAGTTGCTGTGCACTTTTTACTATTTCCCCACCTCCACTACCCTGTAGTTACTTGTGTCATTCGACAGTTCCTGAGAGGAGGTTTACCTGAGTATGGTCAGACTGTGTTTACAGATCTTTTCAAAGACAGGATGTGACACCCCAAGCCTGTTATTGCCCAGACAGTGTCTGGCCTCCATGAAGAGCCAATCTGGAGCTTTAATTGTTTCTCATGCTTAGATATCTCTACGAAGTACGCTTGTTAATGCACTGGATGATGTGAGGTATAGGGTTCAGTGGGTGAAGACATTTAACACTGACACATAGACGGTGTATGGCCAACAAAATACAGCAGGAAGCATTTGCTCTGTATCTCTGCTGAAGGTGAGACAGCCCTTAGTTTAATTATCTCATGAATGAGTTAGGGGAAGAAAGAATCAGCTGGAGAGAGCGGAGGAGAGGGACAAGTGACTGAAGGTGAAGGGTCCTGCCTCAGCCTCTGCAGAGGGGTGTTGGCAAGGTGGCAATTGCAGCAGTGGGGTGCAGGGACACCTTACCGAGTGCCCACCCAGTGACCCACCACCACTGCAGCCGTGATCATTTGCAAGGCAAAACCTAGAGCTGCTTTTAATAGTTCTCCTTCCTACCAGGCTGAGAGAAAGGAAGGAAAAAAGTGCCTACGCCCTCTCCCTCGTCTATGGCAAAACAGTGTATCACTATCGGATAGACCAGGACAAGTCTGGCAAGTACTCCATCCCCGAGGGGACCAAGTTTGACACGCTCTGGCAGGTACTGTACTGTGGGACGCTGACCACGGGTGGCCTAACAAAGCAAAGGCACTTCTCCCTTGTTACAGCTGCCCATGCCTTGAGGGAAAGGAAAGGCCATGTGGAGCTTTAAAGGCTTTAAGACTGTACATGGGTGGTTGTAGCCCCTTCCAGAAAACCCTTACATTCCCTGGGTCTGGCTGTCTATCAGCTCACCTCACTGTGTTCGTTTCTGTGCACTCTTAGCTAAGTAGGTCTAAGCCTGGGCTCTCACAGCAGCTCTAAAATAGTGCTGGCTTTACCACTGCCTTTATGCCTTACACCGCTCTGGTGTCTCTCCAAGGAAACAGTGCTTTCCTTTTTCTAGCTTTAAGCCAGAGTACCTGAGATGGTTGTATTAACTGCACTTGCACCCCATCAGCAAACATCACGCACATTCAGCCACAGCGTGCACCTCAGACTTCTGCCGCAGCAAGCCCCGATGAGATTGCTCATCCCAGGCTGAGCCTCCCGTGTCTCCCCACACCGCCCCTGGACCGGCAGAACTGTTGCGTGCAGGCTGCTGCTTTATGTTCCGAGCGACTGACTTCTGTGCAAAGGGTAGGGGGGGCCAGAAGTCTTGAGCCAGCTGCCAAAATCTTTACATGACTGAAGGCACAAGTCCCAGGAGACACGTCCTATCACCCCCGAGAGTCAGGGGCTTTGGGAATGCCCCAGCAGTCCCCATGAGGGTGGGCCAGGGTTTTTAGGGAATATGACACACGGTCCAGCAACTTGTGGCAGTGCTGGGGAGTCGCATGCCCCCCCCCGGAGCCCGGCTCTGCCTTGTGGCACACACCTCGGCCCTGCTCCAGGGAACGGATACCAGTGCTTCCTCCGGGGCAGGGCTGTCTGGGGGACAGTAACTCTGTTTTGTGGAATTTTCTAAATTCCCAGGACTGTTTTCACTCTGAATTTTACTGAAAACAAAGACTTTGGGGCATTTTTATGGCAATGGAACCGTGCCAGGCTCCCAATTGCAGATGAAATATGAGCCAGACAGGAAGAGAAAGCCTTGTCTCCCCTGCAGTCCAGTGGCTAGGGGCTGGGCTGGTCGTCTCCAGCCAGAGTCAAGTCCCCACTGCACTTGAACCGGCCGTTGCTGCAGGGAAAAACTGCCTGGGATCCACAGAGCTAGCCCTGGGGTTCCTTTGGGAAAGCAAAAGGTTTCTCTCAGGCTTTATCAAACACAACCTGACTTCAAAACCTTTCCAGCTGGGCAAGAGTAACATCACACTGACAATGCCCTACCCAGCTCTCCTGCTGGAGATTTTCCTTTCGTCTTTCTTTGGTCCTTATCTAACTTCCCATATTCTTCCCAGCTCTGGCAGATACCGAGGTATGAAAGCGCTTACTCTAGGAGATCCCTGAGGTATAGGTAGGAGATGAAGGAAAGAAATAGTCTAGTCCCTGTCTGCCATAAATCTGAGAGAAATCATTACCATAAGCCACACAAGTGGCCTGCAATAAAGAGAGATGATTTTCTCCTCACCATAATTTCTTTTTCCTCTGATTCCTTTCCCAGTTGGTGGAGTACCTAAAACTCAAACCAGACGGGCTGATTTTCTACCTGAGGGAAACCTGCAGCAACCCCAACATGCCAGGTGAGCTGACTTCTCTCAGGGCCATCCCCGGCCTCAGTTTACCACCAAGCGGGGCCAGTTCGAGCAGCGCCAACCCCAGTTTCCTTCACCATGTCCAACCTTGCTCAGACCTTAGTGGTGAGGGAACAGTGAGGTCTTTCTGCTCCTCTGGCAAACTGGGAAAGCTTCACATCATGTTGTCTGCTGAAAGTGGCCGGTGTCCCAGCCCGGCCTAGGGTGGCCCAAAGACAGGAGCAGATAGGGGAATCAGTGCTCTAATGGATTAGGGACTTCTGGTGCCAGGCAGACAGCTTCTGAAAAACGCCCTGCTTTTTAGGCAGCAGGAAACGACATGTCCTGCAAGTCTGGCTCCTGGTGGGTCTCTTGAGCTGAACACTCAAAACCATGGGTCACTTTGTCCTGGTCCAAGAGTCACAAACGTCACTTCCCAGTTGGCCCGTGGGACCTTCGCTTTCCCAGGCAGGGGGGCTCTGGGGTACGGCTCAGCCAGTCCCTGCGCTGGGACTGTGGAGACTGTGGGGTGCTCCAGTGGGCCTGCACCTCCCCTGAGAGCTGCTCTGGGAATAACGCCCACATCCAGGCACATTTCCACAGCTTTTTTGGCTAAAGCTGTGGAAACCATCCTTTGTGGGTGGGGATCAGACACAGGCGTTCCCACAGTCCCTTCAAGGACTGGTGCTCTGATCCTGCTTGGGGCACAGGCAGGTTCTTAATAACAACTTATCTCTCCTGATTTACAGCATCTGCAGCACCGATTCCACCAACGCACCCCTCCGTGAGTGTAAGTTTTGGGGAGGGTTTGTTTTACTGACACCTTTGTGGTTTAATGTTATTGCATTTCAAGCGTGCTGATCAAACTCTGCTCTTCAAACTCTGCTCTTCTCTAAAACTCAGTAACTCAAATGAAATATATTAAGCCCAGCTGCAATGTTGTTCCCTTTCCAGCTTGGATGGGGACGAGGAATAGCTGGGCACGGCTACCGTTAGAGCTGAAAATGGTTTCCATTCATACTGTGCTCCTTGCAACATGTGGGCCTGTCCTTGGGGAGCCCTCTCCCCCCTGCCCTCTTTGCCAGGCAGGAGTGAGGAAGACGTGGTTGGATTCTGGGAACACTCAGCCTTGCTGCTGGCCACTGGCCACCGGCCAGGTCTTTGTGCTTCCTCCGTGTCCCGAGCCTCGGGGTACGTCTGTGCTCAGTCACCGCTCCAACTGCTGAGCAGTGTTGAAACCAGCTAGTTTGGGCTACATGAGCAGCCCATCCCAGAGCCCAGCGGAGGCTAAATAAAGGCCTGAGCACTCACCCATCCTCTCAGAGAGCTTTCCCAATCTGCGGTGGGCTCCCATGTCACAGCCACTCTGCTGCAAGCCGCGCTGGCTTTCAAAGCTGTGCTGGACAGATGTGTACCAACACCGCTTTGTCGCTGTCTGCATTTGGGACAGTGGCTGTATTCAGTGTCCGTGTGTGCTTACAGGGGCCACTCTTCGGGCAGGTAGGTGTGCTGGCTGCAAGCTGAGCTGCCTCCGGGCTTCCCTTCGCTCCTCGCCTCAAAGCAAGCTGCAGAGACTTGGCTGGGGTGAGCCCACTGCTGCGGCAGCCTTGACACTTTGGGATGGGGAAAGCAGAGGAGGCGGAGAGCAAAATGCAGCCCTAGGTGTGTGCCCCTCGCTGCTCAGGTAAACACAGAGCCCTCAGCACCTCATCCTGCAGAGCCCACGGGCTGGTGATGGGAGGGCGATGCTGTATTCAGGCTCCAGGGCACTGAATCTTCCAGGATCTGATCATTGCTGTACAGCTGCAGTGGGGGTGCTGCCAGCCAGGACTGGAAGAGAAAAGTCAGTTTGGTACCGCTCCAATATCTTGTGCCCACTTCAGGTCCTTCTAGAGGGAATCACCAGCTGGGGCTCTGCTGGGCTGCAGAGGCTTCCCATTCCTCTCCTCTCCAATTACAAACTGAAGCAGTTTTCCCTGGGTCCTTTATCCACTTTATCCCTGTTTCTTTTCCAGAGACACCTTGGGCCTCTCAACGCAGACGGATACACACCAGAGCCTGTAGGTGAGCATCGTTGAAAGCCCTCTCCTCCTAACAGGAGACAGGGCCTGGGGTTGTCACAGGAGCCGTGGGCGTTACCTGACACATCTATATCACTTTCTGGTCAAACACGCATGCTACTATGCCCCTTTCTTACAAAGGCACCCGGGAGCATCCCAATGGTTCCAGGGTCCTGAGACACAAATATTGCAAAACTGCCCACATTCAGCATCCAGTAAATCAAGCCCTGTCCTGTTCCCCACCATACCCAGTAAATCAAGCCCTGTCCTATGCCCCATCTTCCATCCTGCCTACTAAATACTGAGTGTATTCGGTTATATTTCATTGGGGTGAAGTCGTGCACATGCCCAGGTCCTGCAGCGTCTGATATGTGAAGTGGGAATGCTCAGACACCTCTCCCCACCCTGGCTCCTTCAGCAGCTGTAACTAGGAGAGGCCGTGGGTTGTGAAGGGAAGGAGGGACATGCCCAGCAGGGAGGCTTGAATGCTGGAGCTTGAAGAGAATTGGCCAAGAGACTAGAGGAAACCTTCCCAAACAGTGAAGGGGGAAGGGATGGGGAAGGGGGATGTTGTGTACAGTTATAAACAGCTATGTCTCTTGGGAAGGTGCAGGAAAGTCACGCTTGCTACCCATGGACACCAGTGTCTACGAGAGCCCGTACAGTGACCCTGAGGAACTGAAGGATAAGAAACTTTTCCTGAAGAGGGACCACCTGATGATCGATGAAGTGGAACTGGGGGCAGGAAACTTTGGCTGCGTTAAGAAAGGAGTCTACAAAATGAGAAAGTGAGTGCTGCCCTGAAAGATGCTGAGGAAGCTGGAGGAGGGTGCTCTAGGCTGAGCTCAGAGGTGTCCCCATCTATCCTGCTTCTAGATAGGATCCTAAAGTGATAATGGGGTGGAGGTATAAGAGATACTCTGGAAGGTCAGTGATGACTTTCCACGGACTTTCAGTGACAGCCTTACTGCTCTGTGAGTGTAGTCTGTACTGCATGCTCCTGGGCGTAAGACTGCTGCTTCTGAAGGCATTTGCTGGGCTCAGAGGAGCAAGGTCCATGTTTCTGAGGTCATCTCGGTCCGAGTCAGGGCAAAGGAGCAAGACTGAGGAGATGTACCATCCTTGTCTCTGTCGCTGGTTGTCTATGAGTCCGCAGAGATGGCCTTTGCCCACTTTGTGCCTGAGTTTCCCCCTTGAAAAATGGCAATGACGACGCAGATGTGTGTCAGGTGATGCTCCTTCAGATCTACAGATGGCAAATACTGACCTACACTTACAAGGATGAGGTGATCGTTTTCTCTTTGGCTTTCTAGCAGGCCTGAGATACCAGTATTGTGTAGGGCTCTGCCAAAACAGGCTGCTGAGATTGCCATTGAGAGATCAGACAGCATCACATGAGAAGTGGTTTGCATTCCTGACTGTGATACATGAGTCCAGCTGCTGTTTACTTCATCCCATGTGTGTTCCTCTCTCGCCCTGTGCAGGAAACAGATTGATGTGGCCATAAAGGTGTTGAAGAGCAACAATGAGAAAACAGTGAAGGATGAAATGATGAAGGAAGCCCAGATCATGCATCAGCTGGACAACCCCTACATTGTCCGCATGATTGGGGTCTGTGAGGCAGAGTCCTTGATGCTCGTGATGGAGATGGCTTCTGGAGGGCCGCTCAACAAGTTCTTGGCTTCCAAGAAGTGAGTACTGAATAAAATGTGGCTGGCTCATTTTTTGCACTTCTCATCAAACTCTGCTGCCAGGGGAGCCTAGCTTTGTAGGTAGATGGAAGCTGGTGACAGCAGAAAGAGATGTCTTCTCGTGTGAAGTAACAGAGACTGATGCTTCTGGAGCAGAGATGTCCATGTTCATTCTCCCTTGCAGCTAGAAAACTTGGAGGGGACCGTGGTGTACAGAGTAATGGCAGGTCCCTTATTATTGCTTTGTCCTTTCATCTTCCCCAGAGATGAGATTACAGTCAGCAATATTGTGGAGCTGATGCACCAAGTATCGATGGGGATGAAGTACTTGGAGGAAAAAAACTTTGTCCACAGGGATCTGGCAGCCAGAAATGTCCTGCTGGTCAACCAGCATTATGCCAAGATCAGTGACTTTGGGCTCTCCAAGGCTCTTGGTGCTGATGACAGTTACTACAAGGTAGGTGTAAGCACAGCAAAGGACCCAGATAGCTAGCAGGAGCCCTCCTGGCTGGGGGCTGAGACCCCCAGAGGCAGGGGGTCTGGACTCTTCCCAGGAGCCCTGCTGCATGACCACATCACACTCTGGCTGGCCTCACTGCTGTGACCTTAAAAGAGACTTTGCAAAAGTCTGGGTGGCAAGGAGGAAATTCAGACGGATGCAGAGGTAGGGAGGGGGGATGAAGTGCAGTGGGGCGACAGGAGAGAGGAGCCAGAGCAGAGAGCAGGGAAGAGAAGGTGATGAAGAGCGAGCCAGGGCGGATCTTCCCAGCGGTGTGCACCAGTGCATGACCGTGCGGAGCCCTGGGGCTGGGGTGCGGGAGGAGGGTGGCACAGCAGGACAGTGTCCTGCACCCAGAGGTGGCTGAGAGAGGCAGCAGGGCCTGGGCTGGGGTTTGGGGCCCAGGGCATAGGGCTCGAGGCTCGGTGCCTTCACCTCCCAGCCCAGGGCAAGGGGATTCTTTCAGCAGCGTGGGATTGCATTTGACGCAAACGTTTAGCAAAGCAAAGGTCAGGTTCAGCTCATAGCAGTCTGTGTCTCAGGGTGGAACTGTTCCTCTTTGCTTTGCTACAGGCCAGAACAGCAGGAAAGTGGCCCTTGAAATGGTATGCCCCAGAGTGCATCCTCTATCACAAGTTCTCCAGCAAGAGTGATGTATGGAGCTATGGTGTGACCATGTGGGAGGCCTTCAGCTATGGTCAGAAACCGTACAAGGTGAGGCAGAGCTGGGTCCATCACAGGTGGAAGCCACAGTCGAGTTTCTCACTCTATAACAGGCTGACATATACTGAAACTACAATTTCTATTTCCTTGAGTAGGTGCTCAGGGGAAAGGAGACAGGCTCACTTCCAATTTACCAAAGGCACAAATCAGATTGTTTGGATCCTGCAGCTTTGTTTTCATTTAAGGGAGAAGAAACAGAAAGCAAACCAAATTCATTTGGGTTTGAATCAAAGCAGATCTTCTCTTTGATCCTCTGCTCACTTGCAGAGCTGTACACTCAGTTGCTCAGCCACTGCTCTGTCCATGCTTGGGATGGAGTCTGCAGGCTGGGCTGGCCACAACGTGGGACACCGCTGCTGGGTGCCAGGGTTGAAAACAGCGTGTGTGGTGCATGGATCCAAAGCATTAACCCAGGCCCAGCTCTAATCTGTCTCTTCTATCCCCGTTGCCAGCTCCAAAAGCGTTAAACCATTTTCCACTTGATCCTATCCTAGAAAATGAAAGGCCCAGAGGTCATCAGCTTCATAGAGCAAGGGAAGCGTATGGACTGCCCCACCGACTGCCCGGCAGAGATGTACGCCCTCATGCAGCAGTGCTGGACCTACAAGTAAGGCTTCCACTAGCTCAACTCTTCGCTGGGCAGCAGCTCCATCAGAACAGCACACACTGTCTAGGTGGTGACAACATAAAGCAAATGGTGTTTCCCGCCTTGGTCTCATTCTCTAGTCCGTGATGAATGATGCACCTATTTCTTTATTATTATACCCTTCCATTTGCCTGTACCGAGTCTGGAAGATGTCAGAGCCTCTGTGCCTTTGGCCCTCTGCATCCCAGAAAAGGCTCAGCAGCCCTTCTAATACCTGGTACAACTAGGCTGCTGTTCTACCCCAGGTTTTTCTGTGCTTTCTATCTTCTCGTTGTATCAGTCCACTTTTATCATTTCTGTTGACTCTATTTGTTCCTCCCTGTCCTTGCAGATGGGAAGAGCGTCTAGGATTTATTACTGTGGAAAACATAATCCGTTCCTACTACTACAGTATTGCTACCAAGACAGAAAATGGGCCAGAGGCAGAGGACAAGTCTAAACTTCCTTGAGTTTTCTTCTCTACTCCTCAATACATACCCTTCCTGCATGGGACCTGGAAAGACTCTGCAAATTTTTGCTTTAATCTCTCAAATGTTGGTTTTGTTTTTCAAGTAGTTCCAGAACGAAGAACCTGGTCTGTCATAGCGGACAAGGGCACTCAGCTGTGCCTCACGTTTCCAAACAGCTGGCCACGATTTACATCTCCAGCCTGACCCAGCACAGGACAGTACAGACACTCTTACGGTTCCTTCTTATCCACTTCCAAAATTACCCCAGGAACTCAGAGTTTAGTGCCTACCAGGATCAGTAAGGATGAACTGTGTTGGCTTCAGCAGACCCGGATTTTTCCAGACCCTTTAAAAACCAATTCTTTCACAGGAAACCACCAAGTACACACTTCTGGTGAGGTTTGCATGGGGTGTGACACAGGACAGGGAGCCGTCAAGTCCCCTGCCCCTTGGCTTAGGGCAAGAAGCAGCTGGTGTGCTCCTTGCTCCCAGGAGACAGGGAGGAGCAGTGGGGGCAGAGCTGTGTGGTGCCACTGCTTTGTCCCCTGCGGCCCTGCCAGCCGCAGCTCTTGCCCTGGAGCGCTGCCACGTGCCTGCTCAGCACAGAGCAGGGTGTGCATCCCCCTGCACTGCCACAGCCCTCCAAGGGGGGTTATGGCTCCTGAAACAACACCCCGGACCCATTGCTCACCGCCTGGATCTCAACTGGCCCCTCTGTGCTAATGAAATAAGCATCTCGTTTTCAAGCTTGAAAACCGGTCATCCTGTAAATAAACCATTCTATATTTTTTAACATACCCGTGGCTCAGACTATTGAAGCATCATAAATGTTTGCGACATTTTCAAGCTGACAAGAAAATAACTGTAATTTCCCTCCACTACGCCAGGGTTTCCCTCCCTGATGGTCTCCATAACCCTGCAGAGTCACCAACCTGGTCACCCTTGGGCTGGCTTCCCTGCAGAGCTGGACCTTTCGTGCAGCTTTCTTGCAGCTAATGGCACAGACAGCTGCTCGGCTGAGTCCACTGTGGAAACCCACCTATCGAGGCTTGTACTGGTCTACCCCCACACCCGGATGCAGTGGATTACCCAGGTTGGGGGGACTGTGGTCTGCACTGTTGCAGAAAGCAGAATGGCTGTGAAGGCTGGGGAAGTGGGGGGAAGCAGAAGATCAGAGCTCTGAGATACAGTGAATTAGAAGAGCTTATCTCTCACCATCTTCTGGTATCCGAAAGCCACACAGTAGCTCACAGAGTACCTTGTCCCAGAGGTAGGAGGTAAAATAAACAGCTACAGTCCAGGGCAGGGCACAGCCCTTATCTAAAACCTTAATGGGAGGTGGATTTGATCTGAAGACAACTGTTCCTGGGGAGCATTCAGGTACCAGGCCTAAACTAACCTCTCTGTATAGCCTGTTTAAGAAGTCAGAGAATTTAAGTCTGATGAAAAACATCAGACTTTGCTTAGACTACAGCCTCCAGTGACACCAACTATTTACGCACCAAAGCATTTTATCTCTCAATCCCACTATCTTGTCCTGGATGCTTGAGAACTACAGACATATTACCCCTACCAGTAGAGGGGAAAACAGAGGTATCAGGAGAAAGTGGCTTGTTCCTGTTTGTTCAGTGAGTTAGTGGCAGAGACAGGAAAAAAAATTATCCCCTATGTCATGTTTTCCTCCCAGAGAAAGCAGCTATTTTGCTGGAAAAGAGAAGGTTCGATGTGTTTTCTACTTGAAAACCACTGCCAAAACACACTGTTTAGACTTTTCTTTTGAAACAAATCCATTTTCTGGTTTGAAATGATTTCTCGTATTAAATTTTCAGCTAACTGGTTGCTGGTATTTTTTCAAATGGGGAAGGAAACTACCAGAGAAGTCATATTCGCAGAGGAGCTTCTGGCTTAGCTGAAGACAACTTCAAGGGAATGTGTGTGCCCACCCCCCGACAGACAGAACGTCAATCCCTTGAGACTATGCCAGAAGAGTAAGGGGCAAGGGCTTCTCCTGTGGAAAGCTGTCTGGGCTGTGGGTGTTGCTCTGGCTGTTCCAAGAGCATCACAAAATGTCAGGAGTTGCTGTGGGAGAAAAAGCGAGTGAGACAACCAGGACCTGAAGTCACAGGGCTCTGTGACTCATGCGCCTTTGTGACTCCTGCTTTTGACATGCATGGGGGTCTGACAGTCACCCCTAAGGGGAATCTTCTTTGACTTCAGGCACTACCTCCCTCCTGGGCATCCCCAGTCTGCAATCACAGAAGGGGCTCAGTCCCCTCAGTAAGACACATCTCCAGGTCCCACAGTGCGATGGCCCTGCAGACCAGGACAGTCTCTTTTCTTCCTCATCCACCACATGGATATATCCAGCTCTGTCCTCTCTCCTTGCCCACTCCTGGCAGGTCCAAATATTGAAACACTGCTGGGCCTTTCAGTCCTTTGCTGACTGATCCCAGAGGCAGGGGGGTTAGAGCAAGAGATGTGTCACTGATAAAATAAAGGCAGAGGCCGTAGTTAGCGCAGGCTTGGAGATCAGTGCTCTATGGCTGATTCTGCTGTCCCATGAACTTCCTTAAACCTTCTCTTTTCTTGCTGACTTCTCCTCACCTCCTTCTCTTCACTCACCCATTCATCTCTGTTTTACCTGAATCTTTACAGCTCTTCTGATTCTTGCACTCTCCATCTTGCAAGGGAAAAGATGAACTTCATCTTCTAAGCACCCACAGCGATAAGAGATGATAAAGTATTGGTAATCATGTCTGATCAACACTATGTAACACTCCATTGTATCACCAATGCTGATCTAGCTCATTCCAACCTATCTTATCACCAATAAGCCCATCTTATCACCAGTGCATGACTATTTATCAATTGCACATATCACAAGGACATACTGACCTTTCTATCTCTTTCAGCTATCTAGGCACTTTCATTTTGTTCAGCAGCAGAGCAACTACGTGACTAACGCAGCTCTGTGCTCACTGACTGTTGTATCATACCCCTAAGGAATTTACTGAACCAATGCAAAAGTACATTTTCAAAGCTACCGCTGGGTATTTTCCCCCTCTCTCCCCAAGAAGCTGCCCATGAGGTTCCTCAGGGCACGGCTCAGCACTGGCAGTGGGACCCCTGCTTTGCTGCTGGGCTGGCCTCTCTCCTGTGATCCTGGCCAGCAGTTAAGCTGCTCAGTTTTGGCTGATTTCTGGGCCTTAAGTATTTCTGTGTAGCACAGAAGGCGGACCTAGAAGCACTAGGCAGAGAGCGGGGGCCAGCCCACGGGAGGAGCCCTGGCAGGCTCCACGGCAGCTATCTCCATGCAGCTGAGATGATGCTGAGATGAAGCTCTACTGCAGCACCGGGCCCTGCTCATGTGCCCGGGGAAAGGGCAGGTTTGCATTTTCAAGCTCTCTGTCCTGTTGGATGGCTCCAGCTGTTGGCAATTTGGAGACACTGCAAGGGCAGGGCACGGACCTACTCACCGTCATCACCCTTCTTGTGACAAAATGTCTGGCAACCATGAAGTCACAGAATGCTTTGGTCCTGCCCCGATAAAATACACCTCAAAATTGCAGATTTCGTCATAAAAATCAGGTGAATCACTGATCCTACACTTCCCCTTCTCTCTCTTCGTGATAGGAGATCAGCTTGTTTCTGATTGCAGCAGAAGGAAGTGAGATGAGGGAAGGATATGACTTGTCAGTAGTTGCACAGGGGCTTAGAAGAAAAGCTGCCATCCACTGTTGTTTGTTTTCATACTTTCATCTCCAGATGATGTCTTCTTTTTATGTTCAAGGGCCTTCACAGTTCAGAGAAGCTGAACAAGCCAAATGATGCCCCAGCACAGGGTGCCATCACACGCATCGATACATTCACTCAGCAGCAGCCCAGAATTAGCCAAGTCTTATTGTAGAGGCTTTTACCATCAACCCATTGCACATGAAATAAAAAGGATGTGCAAGGCACGGGAAGATGCAAACCTAGGTGCAAAATTAGATGCTCTTCACTGAGAAGAGGAGTGCAAGTGATAGGGCAGGTTTAGGTATTAACAAATATCCAAGTCCGGAGAAAAAAAAACCTCTCTTTTCACAGCAGGAGGAAATAACTTATTTGGCCACTAAGAAATCTAGTAGAGCAGGTGAGATTTGGACTGAGCCAAAAGGCCTTTTCTTCTTTTGTCTCTATTTTTTTTTAATGTTACCTTGGTTTTGCTTGTCAGATAGAAATCTTTGCGCTGGCAGGGGAGACTGTGAACACGTCTTCACAAGTGTTTTTTCTAATCAACAGCAGAAATCTTGGAAAATAAGAGAGGTGCTGATGCTGGCTGAGAGGCTGTTGGGGAGTGGTAGGAAATTCAGCATCGCTCATCTTTTCTGACTTCAAATGATCCCACGTGAGGACAGGAGCATGCCTGCAGCGTGAGGAGGAGCCCCGGGACCCCGCCTGCCCGCCCAGCGGGAGCCAGGGCACAGAGCCAGGCCCTGCAGCGAGCGAGGGGATGCAGAGATGCATCAGACACACAGTGTCACAAAGAGCGGCTATTTTTGTCCCTAACTGCCAGCAAACAGCACAAGCAGTGACAGGGGTTTCAGCAGCTAATTCTCTGTGTCGGTTTTTGTGGCCTTAAGCGATCAGCTTCGGTCAGTGTAAGATGTTGCTCTGCTCGATTTGAGCAGGCAAACCGGGGGGTGGTGGCTGGCGTTACCACTGGCTCTTCAAGGCTTCTGCTCTGCTGAGACGGCAGTTTCGGGGCCTTGTTCATAAAGCCTGGAGGACTTGCGGGTACCCAGGAATGTGACTCTTGATCCGAGGTCCTCTGCCCCATCTCCTCCACTCACGGGGCCTCCCTGCCCGTGACCTCCAGCTTTTGCTTCCACTTGTAAGTCTGAGATGGGGTGAAGCATCCTCACACAGAGCAGACAAATCACAGTCCAGAGTAACTGGGTGCTGAAAGGTTAAATAACCAACTCCCTCAGTAAACTTATTTTACTATTAAATTAATCTATTAAGTAATGCACCAGTTTGTTGCTGCTGTAAAGGAACTGCTTTTCTTCTTTGGTCACCTGGTTGGGGCATCAGGCTGTCTGCTACATTATCTGGGCAGCAAAAGAAAAAACAGCTCCAGAAAGAAACTTTAAAAACTAAAATGGCATTTGATCAATTTCTGTCCTTTTTAAAATCAGAATTTGTCAGAAATGTTGAAAGAAGGCAAAATATAGGATAATCTGGACACTGTGTGTAGGTACATTTGTCACATCCCAGCTGTGCGGAGGCCAGCGAGGGCAGCAGTCTCCAGGAAGGGCAATGGAACTTGCTTTGAGAAACAAGAGCAGTTTTCCTCCACCGGCTAAGCATAGCTTGCAGAGAGCTCTGCTGCAGCTGAAGGTACTCGTGTTCTGGCCTTCGTGGGCTGGTGGGCTCTTTATAAGTGCTTCCTCTTGCAGATCAAAGCCTGAGCACATCCCCTGCAAGTTCCTGCTCTCCAGCAGTCCTGTACCTTGCTCCCTGAGGGACCTCAGCTCATGCTGGGCTGTGCAGCGACTGTTTCTCCAGAACGAAACCACCCGCTGCAGGCCCAGCAGCTGCAGTACTGCTATTACTCACAGCATTCTTCCAATAAGCTAATCAATATGGTTGTTTTGTGTCCTCCCAAACACTCCCATCATTCAGAGCTCGGCTGTGCTCCTCCGAAGGTTGTACATGCATGTGCCTGTCTGCAGAGCGATTTTAAGTCCAGCTGTCCTTGAGAGAAGGCAGTCGGTGGTCTTGCAGTCTGCCTGAAGGCTGTGGGTTTCTGTTGTTG